TATTTTTGTTTTCTTTGTGCACAAAAAGTATTTTCGTAGCGTCATAAAAATTACCTATGAACCACTGATGTCACATGGCCTATTTTAACGATGTGCTTACTACCTTTCTGGACCTTAAACATGTCGGTTCCATTACTGTCTATGCAGGGTCAGAAAGCTCTTGGATTTCATCAAAAATATACTAATTTGTGTTCCAAAGATGAATGAAGGTCTTACAGGTTTGTAACAACATGAGGGTGAGTAATTAATGACAGCCTTTTCTTTTTTGGGTGAACTATTTTTTCACATTATCCATTGCCTCTCCTCTCGTGTAGTGATGTACTGTATGAAGCACATCTGACAAAGAAGTAACTTTCAAAACAAGCAGCCTTCTGTTGATTTATGTGGCAAATCCGCTTGACCAACTTGAACCAGTGTGGAAATCTTTCGCCCTTATGCAAAATCCCCAATCACATGGATTCCTATTGAAATGCCCGCAAAAATTTGCAGAATGTAACTGCACCTTTATTATGCATTGGTGTGGACGCTAATATACAGGTACCTGTTGTTATCTTTATAGTAATCGTTCTTGGTGTGAACAGGCCTTCAAAGTCTGTTAACCCAAGATCAATTTTCTCTGAGCGGCACTGATGGGAGGGAAGGGAACAGGAAGGAAATGTTGAGTTTTCTGGCTCGTGTCTGCATCTGACAGACAGCGTCAGGCCAGAATCTGCCACGGAAAGAGATCCAGCCACACATCTCAACAGGTGACACCGTCTTGTATTAAGGATGTCTGAACAGCTTAATAAAATATGCATGGCGTGTCACAAAGTAGCACAGCCAGACAAGGTAGGACTGTGTAGGATCCGAGTGGCTTTTTGCAGCTGCTTGTGGGATAGAAATGCTAATGATGCACAGTGTTTAGTGTCATGTCCTTATAATACTCTTTAATGTGTTTGAACGTGCTGTTGGGTTTCTCTTCTCCCTCTCTCTTCTCTAATACCTCCAAAATGCTCCAAAATGAGTTCTCTGTCCGATCCATGTCAGTGGCAGCCAGATGTCTTAACTCTTTTCGACGTCGGAATGTGGGCCGACAAAACCACCGAAATAGGAGTGTCGGAGCATGTGTGGAGAACCAGAGATCCTGCGGTGCATAACAAAGAGCCGGAGTAGCAGAGATCTGGGCCCAAGCTGAGGGGTCAGAGCCTCACGCAGGCAGAGGTAGAGCAGGGCCTGATCAAACACTGTCTCCCCCGGGAACAGATAATACTTTCACAGGGTGAAACATAAACATGCTGCCATGACACCCCCGTCCCTGTGAGAGGAGGATAAAACGAGCCGCTTTTACCCCAGCGCGATCCTTACAAATCCACTAGCAGATTTACACGGCATAAACACACATGGACACATCCTGACAGGTACAAAGAGGGTTTGGAGAAATGTGCTTGGCATTTCATTTCTTAAACGTCTCCCCCCCTGATATGTATCGATTTATGAGAACAGCGCGGACAAATGGGATCAAAAGCGCTGTAGCAGTTAGTTTGTTAAAATGCTATAAATGCCGCATGTGGAAGGCGTCACATGAAGTGCCTTGTGCACAACGGGCTTCTGGAAGTTGAGTCATCCACGTCCATTGTCTACTCCGTGTTAGACAGAACGCATTTACGAGGACCAGAGACAAAACGGAGCGAAGACAAAGACGGCGAGAGTCGTGTTTTAATAGAGCGCCCTCCTAAAACAAATGGAAACTGAAAACCTCCTATAGTCAGCGTGGAAGCCTTTTAAATGTACATTATGGCGCCCCATTAAATATTTTATGTGAATGACAAAGACTCCGTGACTCTGAAGTACAAAAGCATCCAGATGTCTCTAACAGCACTTTTCTCCAGAACATATCTGCAAATGAGACGCAGGCGCCAAAGCCAGAACCAGCACCATGCAACCCTTAACAGACTGTTGCTCCCTTTGATGGGTTTTTAGGAGTTATTCCGTGCACAGATTTCAAAACACTGTCTTTTATAGTGTGCCAATTATGGTAATTACATTACCAAAAAATAAAAAATAAACAGTTTTAAAGGAGTAGAAAAATAATACTTCTCTCAAGATTTACTCATGTCATTTCAAACCTGTAGTTTTCAAACTTTTTATTTACAGAAACTAGGCGTAGTAATATTTTTAAAATAAATAAATGAATAAAATAATTTTAAATAATAATAACATTTTGTCATTTCAGTACGTTATTACATGATTTTTTATTTATTATATACAAATAGCAATTTCTCAGCCATTTTTAATATATAAAATATTTTAAAGATTTAGCTAACTAGAAAAATGTATATTTATTGTAGAAATTTCTACGACTTTTTAAATTTGTAATAATTTCCATGACACTTCATTCCCTCATATATCCAGGTTTTCCAATACTGTGAGAACCCTGATTCTTATTTAATTATGACAGTCGTAGAGGTTACAAATTATAATAAGAAATATGTCAGTCTACGTCTTTTTACCTTTCTTCAAAACATATTTTGTCTTATTTTAAATTATTTTTGCCCATCTTACGACCCCCTTGGAATTGTGCTGAGGCCCCCAGTGGGTCCCAGCTCCATGGTTGAGAACCACAGGCATACAATACCTTTGTGTCTGGAACAGAACAAGATTTAGCAGTTTTTTTTTTCAATAATATTCTCTTTTGCCACAACTCTCATATATGTTTATTCAAATGTGGCGCAAGAAGACTTGTCACTCCAGATTTTAAACCGATCAATAGTGAGTGGTGCTCTTACAGTATGTCTAATAACTAATTGTAATACCAAATTATAATATAAAATCAAAGAAATGGAGATATATGGCAGAGTGGGAAGATTTTCAGTACACTTATATTTCGGTCTGTCCCTCACACAAAGCAATCCAACACAATCTCATAGGAATTTGTAACTATTTTATATTTTGGCGAATCAGTGGCCAAGTAGTATGAATTTATCATCTCGTTAATACCTTTTTGTACAATCTATGAATCTTACAATCTTTTTTTTTTTTAAATGATCTATTTTCATACAGATCACACCATAAATCACGAATGCATACAAAATTGGAATCGCATAGTTACATTTTCTCATGAAAACGGGTTGAGCTATCATAAGATTTATGAAGACTTAAAATATAGCACAAGTTATATGGACCTCTATTATGACACTTCTATGGTGCTTTTATTTTTGCAGCTTGACAGCCCCAGTAGTCACCATTCACTTTCATTCCATAGAAAAGAGCATCATTAACGTACTCTCTAGCATCTCTTTTTATGATCAACTGAAGAAAGAAAATCATTTGGGTTTGGAACGACATGAGAGTAAATGATGACAGAATTCTATTTTTGGTTGAACGATCCCTTTCATACTGTAGAAAAGAAAGATTTTAAGGAAATGAAAGACTGGCCTGATTCAGAATGGACTAAATGTAGAACAGACAGCGAGGAGGAACTCATTCGCTGACACATAAACAAAGCCTACACAAGAACATCGACAGAACAAACGATCAACACTCGACCTTTCAAGACGCCCAGGGCAACACAATCCCTGTGCATCCTCTCACTCTCCTACCGGAGCCAGTTAACGTGAGCCTGTCGCTCGACAGAACATGCTGCCGCTCGAACTGCAATCATTGGTCCAATGCATGAAAAAGCATTGATTTTAAGCTATGTTGTGTACAGTATATAATGCGCATAAATATAGACTGTGACAAGCTATGGGGATCAGCAGAAAATATCCCTCACTCTATATCGAAACTTTTTTGCTCTTATGGCTCAATGTCAGTGAATTTTGCCCGAAGGAATTAGAATTTCTCCCAAGTACATAATCCGCTGTCATTTTCTCTGTTAACAGATTGTAGAGGTGGAGAACACAAGCGCTGCCAGGGATTACAATTTTCAGTCTCTACGCTTGTCTTTGTGGCATCTAAATATTAATAATTCTGTGTTAAGGCACTAGTTTGAGTGGCACCTTCATGTATATTACTTTCTCCCCGGCTATATTTACTCAGCTGGGTTTGGGATCAGTTATTTTGTCTCACGGCAGCAGCGCTCTGCGGGAGAAATGTAGAGCCACAATGTCCCATGTGGCACCTACAATACGCTGATATAAGAGAAGCCAATAAATTTAAGAGTTTTTATTCATTTATTTATTTATTCCTTCTCCGCTCAGACATACTTAACACAAACATAACTAGCGAAGGAAGGGGGAGAGGGAAAAGAGGAAATCAAATCGGCTCTCTAAAGATATTTCACAATTAATTATTTTCCGGTTATTGTTCTTCACATATTAATAATAAAATGTAGGAAAGCCTTGCTAATCTTAATAACATACTGTGGGTATCATGGGTATGCATAGATAACAGGGCCAAATGTAAACATGAGCTAATTGTACATTATGTATGTCCTCTTGAAACCCTAATTATATGTTTATATCATTGAGGCTTTAACGGTTCTGTGCGGAACGGCAGAAGTGCACCGTCAACACCAAAACGCTCTCTCTGCTGCACAATGTGATGCATTGTTCAGAGTTAATTGTAATGGGTTTTTCTGCTGTGGACTGTCATGGGAAATGGTTTTCGAAATTAGTGTAGTGTCAAGTTGTATATCATTTTAAAACTGCTTTCAATCTATATGTCTTACCGCTACAAACTGGAACATTAGACTTGCAGCTCTTAGACAGCAAGTACATCATTATGATAGTCATGATGAAGTAAATCGCACATTTTATTAAAGCAATGAGCTGTCATTACCTTTAAATCCCAATATGCACTGCGATCGTTCATATGCGTAATTAACAGCGCACAAAAAGCCGTCCGTGTCATAAACAGACACCTCGAATGATATGTGATCTTCTTTCAAAATCCATTCCAGCGCATTGCTACTGCAGTGCTCAGCATGGCTACTGCAATGCTGCTTTTCATCCTGGACATTACCAATCCATAACAGCGGTTACACAAGAACGAACAGAAATAGAATTCTGATTAGTTCTTACGTCTTCCCAGCCACTCCCAGGCGTGTAGGAGATGACATCCAGAAAGGGATTGGCCAGGTAGCCCTCGTTATTGAATGAATAGTCCCGCCCACCGAGCGTGATGTTACTGAAATACCTGCAGAGCAGAGAGAACACAGCAGAAACAGTCTGTTGAGATGGAAGAGACCCAGAAAGAATTAGTATAAAAGACTCAGAGGACACGTCAAAGAGGAAATCTCGCACGGAGCACTTCACAAACATCCTAATTAGGTCAGATTGCGAGACTGTGGTGAAGGTAACCATTTTATTTCCTTCAGCAATGGAATCAAAGGAGGCAGTCACTCTATTTCGAGCACTTAATCTAAACCAGTAAAATACCCAGAACGGTGCCTAAATGTGACATTCTTTGTGACTGCTTCAAATTAATCTTTTTATCTTAAATCCAATATGCTTTTGGCAAAATGAAGAGTGCACATTTAAAAATTTGACTGGGTGAACAAGTTTGAAGGAGCAACGTTTCCTCCGCTCAGTTCTTATGAGGCTTTTGTGAATATTCCTCACAAAGTTCCTACAAAGATCTCTTTGATAAATACATGCAAAACCATTATGTAGAAGCCTATTTAGCAAACCGTAATTACATCAGCAGCACTAAACAGGTGAATCTCTTTTCCCCATCAATCCTCTTCTGACGTGTAATGAGTGTGAGTCACACTGATGGTGTTACGTTGAGAGTTTCCGCTCAGTGAGACCATGTAATTTCTCCCTACAATGTGTAAAATATGCTGTTAAAGGTGGTTATCACATTTTTTTTAAGTTCAGGCTGTTGTTCAGAAATTCTAGTTTCATCACTGGCAGCCAGTGCTTTTCTCATCAGAATTATTGATGAAACTGTTCATTAATTAAGATTTGTTTTTAGCATTTTCCAACGATAATGAAGATGAAACGAAAATGCGGTGATTTGAATCAAAACATACTGCTGATGAAAATATGAGACAAAAATAATGCTGATTGTTCAAAGAATCTCATCATAGTCAATAACTTCAGGGATATAAACTGTTTGAAAATTTTATCAAATTTTGCACGTTCTTTCTTCTACTAAAGTCAGATGCCATTTTTATGAAATTCAACAAATTAACCAACATTTAATGACAAAATACTAACTAAATTATAAGGATTTCGTCAAAAAGCCTCTCAGGAATTTATTTTTCAATGCAGAAGTACGATATTTCCTGTGAATCTGTGAGATTTCCAATTGATTAGCCTCCACAGGTGTATAACTAATGATAACAAAGTGGAATAAATAAAAATATATATATTTTGCAATATTAGCATTGTTTATGATTACACTAAAATAATATGATAACAAAACCAGTTAACAACACCGAGCAGCATAATGGACTAAATTACTGAACATAACTAGAAGCAGCTGATAACGGAAGTTAAAAATGGCTTGGCTTGCTCTTGTGTTAAAAATAAGGTGGATAATCTTCCAATTATAATAAATGAAACTGGCACATGCTTGTTGATTATAATGGGCCTCTCCTAGTTTTGCTGCATTGCATGCTTTCAGGGCAGACACAGCGTCAAGCATGCTGCTATTGTTTATCCCCTCCCACCCATGTTGTCTTCTTAAATACAGGGACATGTTGAACGCCTCCCCCCTGCAGTCCCTGTGGTGGGGAAGTAAAGGACATTCATGCCCCAAAGGTGCAGCACTTTCACTCTCATTAGAGTGTGTCATTACAGATAAATAGACTTACTATAAATGCAACAAAGCAGAAAAGTTGAAGGTTAATGCCAAATGAGATGAGCTTTAAACACAGTTCTCAGGGTGAACATAAATAGAGGGCTTTTTAAAGATATTCAAGATCAGTATAATAACACTTTTAAACTATGCTGAAAGCAGCATTTATTTGCATGTGCTGGTTTAGCACTTGATTCACTAAATGAATTAGGCAGGCAATTTCACAAATGCACATTCACAAAACTTGTACAGCATAGTCCTACCATAGACATCCAGACACCTAAATAATCTCTTAAAAATGCACTTTACTACACGTGAATCTGGATAAATGCTCGGTTATAACACTCTTCTCTATCATTTGATAATAATCAGCTGATTTACTACCGTCATGATCGCTAGAAAGTGCACACAAACATCCATTTCAGATTAATTTGTCACCTGCTTTCATTTTATTGTGAATAAAGTGCCATATACAGTACAATGAGTCTCATAAAGGAGGCGTGTTTGTGTGGAAATTAATGCTAATTACTTAATTTAAATACTCTGATTGCACCTGTTAAAAACCAGTTTGTGAGTGGTTAGTGAATAAGATGCAGCTTTTTACGTTGCGATACCATGGACAAAGATGATTTAATTATTTAGTTAATTATTTAATTCGCTCCTATGAGAATATCTAAATCCATTCCTTGTATGGCAGCTACTAACCTACTCCATGGTTAACATGAAGTTAAAATGAACTTCTTAAATAAATGTCACTGGTTATATAGTGGTTGGTAAAAATGTTGGTTTTTATAATCTTCATCAAAATATTAATAATATATTCTGTAATATAATTACATTTTATAATATTGTACAATAATATTTGTTTTTTAAAGAAGGAAGCATTTATTTGATCAAAATAAAATATTCAGTAAAAACAGTAATATTCAAAATATATTATTACAATTTAAAACAGCCATTTTCTATTTTATTATATTTTAAACAGTAATTTATTCCTGTAATGGCAAAGCTGAATTTTCAGCAGTCTTCAGTGTCACATGACTCTTCTAATATGCTGATTTGCTGCTCAAGATTTTTTATTATTATCAATATTGAAAACAGGTGATTTGCTTAACATTTTTGTGGAAACTCTGATACTTTTTTTTCCAGGATTCTTTGGTGAACAGAATCTTTTTAAAGATCAGTACTATTTCTTTGATATAATATTTTTTGTTTTTGTTTTTCATAATAAATATACACAGTACACACACATATATTATGTAAACAAAAACATTTATTTTGGATGTGATTTATCGCGATTAATCGTTTGACAGCACTAAATATAACTTTTACTGTACTCAAACTTTTAAAATATTTTTATTTATTGAAAAAATTAAATTAACCAACTATGCTACAGCCTTCTTTCTCTGCCCATTGAAATCTCATTTGATAAAATCAAATCCCACCCTACATCATGTCACTAAATATTCCATTTCACTTAATACAGCAAGTTACATTAGTTAAAGGTCCCATATTTTATACCTTTCTGGAGTTTTATTTTAGGTTTTGATGTCCTTAAGAATATATATTTGCGGTATAAGTACCAAAAACCATCTCAATATATTTTTACAGCTCCTTTCTCAGGAGCTCTGCTGAGAACAGGTCGATTTTGTCCTGTCTAATTAATATTCATGGAACTCTCTTCTGATTGGCCTGTTGTTTTCTGAGTGACGCACGGCCAGGCCAACCACAGATAACTAGGGTCAGCAAAACAAAGGGGAAACTGGAGGCGGCCCATTCAAGCCAGCGCAGATTCGGCTACATAAGGAGCTTAAAATATCTTGTTGTGATGTTGGGTGCCAGAATCGACGTAATACGTAATATGGGACCTTTAAATGCTTTGCGAATGTTCATGGTCACTATAATATAGGCGAAAGTGTTGTGCTGCTCAGTGTGAGACATGTTGTATCTCTATGTTGTGCAAAACATACAAGTCACATCTTGTATCGGTAGAAAGAACTGTTTCTTACTTCATTCTACCGCGGATCCTCTGTGTTCCGTTGCCATCCGTCTGACAGTTAGTGACAAAGTGCGGCCCTCCAGTGGCTCCGTAGTCCTTACGCAACGCGACAGCTCCATGAGTAAGAATGGACACCCCACGGGCGATACGTCTGCGGGGCTCGTCCCTCCAGCCCTGTGGTCTGACCGCAAACAGCCGACTGGGTAGTCCGGTCAGGCCCAGCTCGGACAAAGCCGGACCCACCGCGAACCATATGTGAGAGGCGCTGGCCTGACCAGCTGCCCAAGCAGCATGGAACACCTGTTCTGCTTCCTCCTGAGAGCAGTACAACAACCGCACCTAGAGTGGGAGTGGGGGCAAAGAGGACAGAGGGGACCAAGATGAAAACCAGAGAGCAGGAGCAAGAGAGGAAACAAAAGAGAGTGCAAAATAGAACACAGAGGTCAAAAGGGAGGAAGAGACCATGAGCGGAATGAGAAGAGGAAATGGAAGAGTGGACAGGAGAGGTATTGGGTTTATATATTTATTTATAAAATCACTAATAACTGATCGTGAAAATAAGTCCTTCAGTAACTGAAAAACTGTAATGAAACTGTAATGTAATGACATTTTACTGTTAATTTCTTATAATGAGAGTATTTCCATTTTACAAAACAGAGCCTAACAGTCCCAATATTAAAAGAGCAATTAAACTGTCGCTCTTGTTATTACATTTCAGATATTTCATAGAACATTCATGTCAATTAAATGGAGCACAACAGAAAGGGAGTGCAAGAACTTGGATCAGTGAATTTGGATTGAAACTTGAAATCCTATATGCACTGTAATTAATGATATATGAAAACTAACATTAAAGGGATTACTGAAAAATTAAGGCTTCATTACAGGAACTAATAAACTGATTACTGTAGATTGATGTACTACAGTATGTACCGTGTTCAGAGGGCAGAATATGCGTGTTCACACATTCTACTGTCTACTGTATGTCAATGCTATTTATTCTGCTGCATTTAGAATGTAAGACGTGTTCACTTTACATTATTTAACTAGCTTTTTCATAGAATTTGTATAGCATAGAATATGGCATACTTCAATGTGCATATTGTTAGAAGAACAATATTGGTTAAGATATCTGATTAATCAATCAAAGAGCTAACCAGAATTGAATTGATTATAAAAACAGTTATTAGTTACAGCCCTAATGTATTAGGATTTATTCCAGGCAAACAGTAACAGACAGAAATGATTTTAAGGAGAGGAACAGCTTTGAAGTAATGGTGCTGGGACATGCCTTAATGAAGAAAGACGGATACTGGATGGATGGAAAGAGAAGGAGAGAAAACGGGAAGAAAGGAAACTAGCACATCTGGGAGGGAGAGAGAGAGAGAAAGGAAGGAAGGAAAGAACGGTAAAAAAGCAGAAACTTAGAGAGGGACTAAAGATTTCACCTTTACAATGCATGAGAGAGAAAAACCCAAGAGAGATAGACTGTAAAAGAGAGAGAGAACAGGAGAAGAGAGCTAGAGAACTGGGAATAGAACAAAAGAATGATAGAATAAATAGATAGAAAATCCAACTAGTATCTAAACTCACCAGCCCTGAACAGGACAGATTAAATTATGAAATTATGCTCTTGTTCTTGTTCTGTGTGTCTGTGTTTATGTAGAGTATACAGTATATTCTGTCTGTGTATACAGTAGGGGTGGGCTGTACATTGAAAATCATGGTATGATTAAACTGGTCCTGGCTTTTTAATTGGTCAACACCGTGTCCCAGTCGTGCTAAAATTCACAAAATAAGTGGAAAACATCATTTTATCACATCACTGCGCAGCTCCCATAGCATATATTTTGCTACATAGTAATACTGTCAGGGACTATATCTTTCAGCAGAAGAATGCCACTTGATAATGTTTAGCAATAAGGCCATGATGCATTGTGAATATATATATACACAGCTGAAGGGCTTGTGGGTACTACACTGTGCATTACTGACCTCTTGTACCAAATGCAGTTATTTTTAGGGATGCACCAATATTAATATTCTAACTGATAATGTATTATGCCAATAAGTATTTTATGTTATATCTGATAACCAATAAATACAGTAGCTGATAATAAAATTATTTTACCTACATTCTTTTTCCTAATATATAATAATAAATAATATAATAATAAATAAAACATTAAAAACTCAAATAAAAAACACTACTATTTAATAAAATGATTAAGATTAATTATTATTGTGTTTTTAAATATTAACTTAAAGTGTGCATTATAAAAGTGTGAAAACAGGAGACTGACAACAACCATTTTAAATTAAAATAATTAAAAAACATTTTAATTTAATCGTTTTTAATATTAAATTATTTTATTTTAATAAAATAAGTATCACATAAATGAATAAATAAATAAAAATTATTATATTGTTATGTTAACTTGTAGTGTTCTTCCGATAATAAAGATAATATAAATATAAAATTAGAAATTAGCATACACAATAAAATATCCAAAATAGGCCAATATATATCCAATATTGATAATATTACCACAATATGATAACAATACATTTTAAATATTTAAAAAGTCAATTTTAACCGATAACGCAAATGGTAACCCAATATTGTGCATTCATATTATTTTTACAGTAAATTTATATCAATATCTTTAGAAGACCACAAACCTGTCTGGCATCAGTACAACACACAATCAGAAACTAACTCGCTCCCATTACAATCAACAAAGTTGTCTACACTGAAAACAACTCTGCAACACAGTGTGAAGAGTAGACTGTAACTTTTTGCTTAGTGTTGGATTTTTTTTTACATCGCACAGCAGATACACTGCAGTACTATAAACGTTATAGCATCTCTACCGACTGACATATTTCTACCACTGTCATACCGCCCAGTGTAATCTAAGAATGCATTTGCACTCTATACTGTATGTTCTACTATGCAGCTAACTTTCTGTGTGTATATAAATGCATACTTTATGTATGTGTGCAATATTTATTTGGGTTTGTGTGTATGTGAGTGTGTGTAATTGAGCAGACTGAATCTAATGCATATGGCATTGGGCTGTTATATTAACACTGACATCAGTGTACTGGGACCCACAAGGCACAATAACACCCTCTAACACACACATACACAGAACAATAACAGTCTGGAGGAGACAGAGGACAACCTGCGACACACATAAACACACACACACACACACACACACGCATTACACAAATATAGGTAGAGATGGGAAAGGGAATGAGAATGAGAGGAGAACGGAGAAAGGACAGCGAGAGGTCAGAGAAAGATGGTGGAGACGACAGCCGAAAGAAAAAGTCAAACAAATGGTTAAGGACAGGAAGTGATGTCAGTAAATGAATGATTAAATGAGCGAATAAGCGAGACAGAAACGGGATGACCTTCCCTCTCTACCTGTGCTTCGTTTTCTTTCAGCAGCCGCCGTGTGCGTGCTCCTCCCGGATCATCGGTTAAATTCAACATCACTACGCTCTTCTTCTCCCAGCCAATGAATGACCCGTCGGTCAAACCTTCCACTACTGACAGGAAGTCCTGGTAGCCATGGTGACGTGTGGACACCACCGAGAAGGCCGTCCAATCATACTCCTCCAGCACCTCAAAGATCACCTCCAACTGGAGTGCGGTGGAAGAGCTGAACTGCAGGAAGATTGAGCCGGTCTCCTGCAGAGTAATTAAGAAGGTAAACGACTACATTTCCCAAGACTAAAGACAGCTGATTAATTCCTCGCATAAGGCATCATGGGAACTACATTTCTTCTGAACTGTTTCTAATGTGACATTCACTAATCATAACAGCAGACAGAGCTTGTCTTCTGCAGTCCAATTAAGGGGAAAAAATAACTACGTTTCCTGTGATTGAAGACTATTTATTGCCTCCATAAAGCATCATAGGAATTCAATTTCTTATAAAGAGTTTCTGAGATATGCAGGCGCTGTAGGAACATGAGGGAGGTGCTTCAGTGTCTCTAATCGTCACCGGAGTACATCGTACAGCTTTAAATTTAATTTGCGATGGCGTTGAGTGTACGCGTGGGTCCGAGAGCGTGTAGGATTCAATGCGACAACATCAAAAGGATTCAATATCGTGTCTCCAGAGTAAATAATAATAAAAAACAAAACATTTGTGAATGAAAATGTCTTTTTACCTTTGTAGTTTTCATATTGTGCTAGGGAAAGCATGTTATAAATGTCGAGACTAGCAACTGAAATTGCAAAACCCAGACCGAAGCACTTCAGTGAACACAAGAGGGAAAAAAAAGAGCAGACCATATGGCCTGCAGTGGTAATGCATGACCCTTGCCCTTGCTATTTATCCAAATGGATGTTAGTAATGCCATCCCTTCCTATGGTTATCGGTGCGCCTCGATCAGGCCCCGATAGAGACGACGGCAGTCCTATCTCTGTCCGTTTAACGGTCCTCCTCAGGCGGTACCATTAACAAACAATGCCCTTATAGCACTGCAGCAAGCCAAACACTATCTAGCAAGTGTTAGAGCTCATTAACACCAAGAGCTTGCAGAGAGAGATGTTTGTGAGGAATTTCCAAAGTCCAAAGACACTCATACAACATTGTTTTTTTTTCCTTTTCAGAAACAACAACACTGTCAAATAATTCAGTGCCGCTAAAGTGCGTCTTCAGACAGGACTAAGAAATCCTCAGTGGCCTAGTTTTATTGTCCTATTAAATGGCATAGACAGTACAGTTAATAAGGGAAAAAAACACTATTCATTTCAAGACAGCTATACTTCAGAATCAAAATCAATCGTACTGGCTGGGTACAATCACTTTTAAGAGGAATTTGACTTAGCTGAGTCAAACTGCTGACACTAGCTTAAACCTCTCAGGGTTACAGGAAATGCTTCAAACAGGACAAGTTTCTGTCTGTAGACTTTGGTTCTGTATTTAAAATCATTCTGTTAGTTGGCACCAGACTGTATTGGGAGATTTCTAAAGGTAGATCAATGAAAAGTGCTCAGAGGTTAAGCCAAATTAATTGAACTTAGATTATGGAATCATTGTGAATAATTACTAGTTGATTTCCAATTTGAATGTAGTTACAGTAAGTGAGTGAAATCAAACTCTAAAGTATGGTAATAGCCTCGTGGGCAGCGTGCCAACACATAGCCCCATTGCTCTACGGGCGTCTCGAGTTCAAGCTCGGCTCGCTGACCTTTCCCGATCCCATCCCACCTCGCTTTCTGTCTAAAATACTGTCCTATCCTAATAAAGGCAAAATGCCAAAAATAAATCTTAAAAAAAAAAAAACATTAGCAAATTTTCAGTGAAATTTCGCAGTCCATTGTCAATAGTGTAGCAATGTATGAAGCTGGTTTCAGTTGGTCAATGCAGAAAATTTGCATGACCAACTTGAACATAAGTGAGATCTTAATGGGAAACTTCGCAAAGCTCTCAATTGCATAAAATTATGGGATTTAATTTTTCACCTAAATTCCCTAAACAATCATACCTGTGGTACCCTGCCCAGACCCGCTCCCCCTCCCACAGCAACAATGGGGAGGCCGGTCTGGGCTGAAACGAACTCCAGCATGGGGGCCAGGGGGCCAGAGGCCAGCGGGAGGGGTCTCTCATCTTCATACACGAGTCCCTGAAGGGGTCTGGCTGCCAGCAAGTCACACAGCTGAGAGAGCAGCGTCCTGGGGCTGCTGTCATTCACCTGTAGGTAATTCACATTCACTTCACATTTGTGTTCACATTCACACCACATTAACTTCTGTAGTTATGAATGAATACTCATGCTTAAGTGCCCGTATTTTCACCCTACTTTTGTATTCGCACTTCAGTTCACAATCTACAAAGCGTTCAGGTATCCAGGCTACACTAAATTTAAAATCACAACTGTTTCGACCCTGTACGCAATCAATTCAATTTAATTTGCATGACCTCTATCGGACTGACCTGGAGCCAGATTACATTTGCGGATCCCCACTGGGTGACGACGCTCTCACCGAAGCTGCTGTGCACACGTCCGAAGCCCGGGTATGGCACCCTACCCGCAGCTGCTGCAGCCCCTGCTTCCCCTTGTTGAACCGTTGAGCCCGCGTGGATCACTGCGATGTTGAAGTGCATTGATGCCACCGGGTCCCGTTCACGCTCTCGGGGCCGGAGCAAGAGATGAGGAGAGGAGCTAGTCTGACCCGCCCATTCTACCAGGGCCAATAGCAGAGAGAGTGTGGGTACTGTGACCATGGCAAAAACCGAGGAGGCCAAACGAGAGGGTACGAAGAAAGCCTGAGTGAAACCAGGAAGAAAAAGCAAGAGGGTAAACTCTGATTAAAACAAAATCAAAAGAGCAATATATTGCATGCGCTTAAAAAAATTGAGATATATAAAGAGAGAGTAGGCACTAGAATGAGAAAAAGAAAGCAAAGTAGAACAAGAGAGATGGCAAGAAAGTAAGAGACCTGACAAAAGAGGCAAGAAAATAAAATGGGCTTTATTCAGGCCACAGGGTGAAATGGAGCAACACAGGAGGATAATTGACAGAGGGATAGAAAGAAACTACATGTGTGCTTGTGTGTACTAGGGATGCAACGATTATAGATTTTGTTGGTACGACTATTGTCTGAGGAATAATCACAGTTTTACGATTATGACGATTATTATGCATTTATTCATTTCCCAACATTACTAATGTATAAAATCACATGAACACTCTTTAGATATTTTAGATATATTTATTGCTGGCTTTTGAAACAGAAATAACACAGTAACCAACAATACAGCACAAAATAATAATAAACAAAAGACAAACAGTCGCGAGTGTCTAGTTCATTCTCAATGGGAGACATGCGGAAAGCGGCAAAACGCGGGCGGTTTCGCTGGCGGCGCGGAGGCGGAGCGCAAGCGGTGCTCGTGCACCCAAAATCCTGCCGCTTCCACGGTCATGGCGCTTCGCGGCAGGTGCCGCCAAAGATAAAAATATTTTATATTTTTGTGAGCGGCAGCGGCAGCCTGTACATTCTTTACATTTCTTTTGGACCTGGGGTAGAGAATTTGGAAACATGGTGAAAAAAAAATATTGTTGGTTTTTACTTATAAATAATACTACAACAGGGATAATAAATAACAAAGTTAATGAAGTAGCCTATTATTAATATGCGACTAATATTAACTTTATTTGTCCCACAGGGGAAACTGTTACGAATGATGGAAATAAACTGAAATATTGTAATCAACTGTCATCCATACGTATTAATTTTAATAATCTTTATAATAATTCATATGATTTTACATGTGGCCTGAGAAAATCATGTCTATTATTTTGGTTTGTGAGATCGCGCTGCGCACGTGTACAAACATTCAGGAGGACACAAACTTCTTGAGAATGCTGCCCCGTGACTTTTATTAATAAAATAGATTAAATAGCCTACTGGAGAGACGCACAGACGCAGGTAGGCTAAAGGCCCTTTCACACGGAGTGTCTACTTCATTCTCAATGGGAGACATGCGGAAAGCGGCAAAACGCGGGCGGTTTCGCTGGCGGCGCGGAGGCGGAGCGCAAGCGGTGCTCGTGCACCCAAAATCCTGCCGCTTCCACGGGCACGGCGCTTCGCGGCAGGTGCCGCCAAAGATAAAAATATTTTATTGCAATAAAATCGTTCAATGTACAGCAAGCCGTGCATTATCCCTTATGTATTCGCTCTTTAGCAGCATTTTTTTTACAGCAATATTTAAATGACACCCTGGTCATTCGTGGTGTAGCCAAAATGGTCCCACACTATCAACAGGCATTTCTCTGGTGGAAATAAAGCTTCGCTGTTTGGTCCCTCTGTCAGTTCATCTAATCTAATGCATGTAGTAGCCTCCGTGCCTCTGATAAGCACGTCATTTTAAGCTGGTGCACCGCTAGTGTAACTTTTTTCGTTTTGCGCAAGCTGCAACAGTTCCGTTCCGTGTAACAGAAACACTCGGTTTAGCGGAACCTTTACGATTAATTAACCGTGACGTTTTAAAGCGCGGTTAATCGCGAAACCGCTTAATCGCTGCATCCCTAGTGTGTACAGGTTTATCTGTTCTTGTGAAGGTCTGAAACCATCTTGTGAGGACATCAAAAGTGGTCTTCAATATTTGAAAGGCTCACAAATAAGCCAATTCATGTTTTACATTAAATGTAATAATGGTTTGTATGAGGGCTTTTTTGCATATTAAATGAGTAAAAAAAAAAAAGAGTGCCCTTGATAAAGAAAAGGAAAAATAATCTGTATTATGAATAGACTTTAAACACAAGTTCTTAGAAATTAGGGTTGGGCGATGTCTACAAAATTGGCATCGGACGATGTCTACAGTGAAACATCTTTATGTTTGAAACAGCTTCACAAACAGTCTACACAGCAGGCTAAATTTATGTGTTGTAAACATTAAATAATAATGAAAGTATTGATAAAAGTTTAAAATCCGGATGTAGACTCTGATGTTGCGGGAGCCGCCATCAAAATGGGTCTTTGAAAGTAATACGCTGCAAATAATGACTGTATATGTTACATTATGCCAGTAGGTCTTGTGCCAGACGCGAGTGCAACGCTGATAGACGTTCCTCTAGAAAATTTGATAAATATGCATTCTGTGTGAATGGCTTGGTTTCAGTTTTGACATAAACAACATCTTCTCCACACTGATGCTCTCGTTTTCCGTAATATATTGAATGAACAACGTAGCAGCGCTGCATCTAGTGGGTTCAACTGGATAGGCTAACAAAAGCAATTTACATCATCAATTTACAACACTTACATCGTCGTCGCCACATTTCGTTGCGCCACTGATAGGCTGCCTGACGGCTGACGCAGACCTAAAATTGTGGATTTTTTTTTAATTCGACGAATATTCGAAATTCAATTTTTTTTTTGACAGCTCTAGTCATCCATGACACTCTGCAATTCCTTTTGGTGAACTGGTGGCAAATTTCATAAGAATTTTGTAAGATACTATTCACATGTGTTGTGCAATCAGCTTACATACCAATGAGGGTTAGATTTAGGGGTGAGAATAGAGGTGAAACTTCAAATTTTGTTTCAAGAAGTCTTACATTTAAAAAAAATAATAAAAATCGTACACATTCATATGAAATCAGCAACTCAAAAAATGGTTTAAAAAATGGTTCTTGCGTGTTTCTTGTGTGTTTGTCGCACTGCAAATGTTTTCAAATTTAGTAAGCAGCTTCTTTGTGAGAAATAATAATAAAAGATTATGCCAAAATACTTTTTCCAGTATTTTATATATTCTTTAATGAAATTCAATATTTAATATTTCATTTTTTCTTCATTATGATATCAGGACTCTTGTATCACCCTGACATTTTTTTTTAATTTAAAAATCTATCAAAATTATCTTTAGAAAATAAAAGTTCGTCACAAAGGACTTGTATTCAATTCATTGTATGTATGAATTATTTTGTAATGAACACATTTTAAGATCTACACAACAAAGTCATGTCATTGACCCAAATATAATTATTTTAGCACGAAACCACAGCGTATACAAAAGGCCCTCACTAATATAGCTTCTAAGATGTGTGTGAGCGCACTAATAAAAACAGAGTCAAGGAATGGATGTGCTTATTGTAAGGTGAATGAATAATAACAAAGATTAAAAATATAAACACCCACACAAATTCTTCATAACCACACTCACATACCAACATAACTGAACACACGCACCAATAAAATGATTTGGAGAGTTAGAGGTTAGTGCAGCTGATGTAAGAAAGTACAGCATGTCTTACGCTCCTTTCCATCTCAGTTACACACACACACACACACACACACACAATACAAGCAAATCATTTTCAATTTACTTTTGTGGCAGCCTCCTTCTGTCTGCTCTTCTCTGTTTCATGACTTCAGGTGCTAATGCAATTGCTTGGAATCACCAGGCTCTCTGACATATTCCCTCTCTCCCAATTCTGTCACCGCTTTCTAGGTTTGTTCTCTTTTTGTTGCATTCTTTTTCTCCCTCTGTTCTATTTATCCGTCTCTAAGCCTGTTGGTCTGTTGACCCTGACGAGTCCTTCAGATGAATGCGAGAACGAATTAAGAGGCCAAAGACGACGAAGCAATGAGCAGAATATGGGAGGGATGGAGACAGAGAGAGAGAAAGAGAGAGACGGGCAGATGTTGGAATTCTGTTTGGCTGGAAGAGGTAAATATAGTCCTAATGACTAAGATGAGGACAGAGATGGGGAGGAGGGAAAATGGAGGGAGTGGAGAATAAGAAAGAGGGATGAAATATGGAGGAATAGAGGGAAAGAGAAATATTGATTACTGGGGTGTGTGTACGTGTTTGGCCTGAACAAACATGCTGGCAATCCTCCAGTTTTGACAGACAAGGGACAGTATGAGAGTGTGTGTGTGTGTGTGTGTGTGTGTGTGTTATGTGAAAGGTTGGTGGGAGATGGGAGGTTGGGGGGGTTGGAATGCACGAAAATCGGAAAGAAAAATGCACATTCCACAACAGCATATTACTGTTTTTGAGTCACTTCAAATTAACCTGGAGTAATCATAGCCTGGGCTTGTCATTTGGGAACCCACTGTGCTAATGTTGTGCAAAAGCAGCAATTTACTGCCACTTCCACAGGTTGCATTGTACAGTAGGAGACGTGGGAAGTGCACACGCAGCCCTGAATTCATCAAAGAGAGCCAAAAACACTCAACGATATATCATCCACAAAAGAAAGGACTTGTGCTTCGCTGTTGCTTACAGACCCCCGGGCGATTCTAAAATACTACAGAGTACATTACTATAACGGCTCTCTATATAAATGTACATAAATCTCTAGTGTCCCTGACTGGTTTTTTAAATATGCTGCGAACACTTTATTTTCAGAAACATTCAGAGATGTTTAAGAGATGTTCAGTTCAGTTTATTTACAATGAAGTGATTACAAGCTCATGATGTACAGCATAAAATTTATACTTACACAATTACCAGATTCATACAGCACAAGGTAATTTTAATTTTTTTTATAACAAAAAAACCTGCACTTTATGGGTCTTATGGGGAAGATGAAGATATTCATAAAAAATATATAAAAATTAAATGAATAAATAAATAAACCACATTTTGTGTTCTACAGAAGAAAGTCATACAGCATGGAATGACATGTGGTTGTGTAAATAATGACAATTCTCATTTTATTTTTGGGCAAACTATTCCTTTAAAACAAAACAATGCATCTTCTATGCATTTCTTTAAACCCAGTCCAAAGTATATAGCCTTGAGCATGTTTACATTCA